TAAATAAAGGCAAAAATATAATATAAATATAATATATAAATATACAAAATAAATAAAACATCTATCAATGATGCTGAGATATTTGCAAAACTTCGGACCGCAGGTGTCTGCGGCGGTGAGCGAACGCGCTATTGTCCTTTCCGGGGAGTAACGCGTTCACCGCCACACCATGCAGGTCCTTCGTTTCGCCTTTCCCCTTGCTGTGGCAAAGATCGATAGAACTAGCTGAAAGAAAAGCGAAACGAAGGGCCGGCATGGTGTGGTTACTCCCCGGAAAGAGCTATAACGCGTTCGTTCCCCACCGCAGATGCCTGCGGTCCCGAGTTTTGCAAATAGCTCAGCAACATTGAAGTTATATTTCGCAATATACCCCGCCATTAAAAACAGTAGGCAGAGAATAATAAGTTAAAATTTAAAATATCTATGTAAAATAACTTTATATGTGATATGCTGTGTAAAAATGAATGGAATGGTGCAGTGCACTCGTTGTCAGTGGTTCCTTTCAATAAGCAGTGGTTGCGTCGTTTGTTCGATTCTGTGTTTAGAGCTAACCTAGCCTCCTACATTTCTCCGAGGTTAGCATGTCGGAACCGGACTTGTTTGGGAGGATAGCAACAACTGAATTGATGCACAGGTGGGTCGCCAGAATTCATTGTCTGGGGCAAACATGCATAATGTCTGCAGTGCTTTTTATGAAGTTAAAATGATGACGGATTCGTGAGGGATTGACCAATGATCAGCTCTTCATCCCTATCCTTTCTGAAGATGCTGTGAAAATAAGTCTGATTCCATAACGTTGAGAAAGGATCATGCTCCCGTCTACCTTTGTCTCATCGTTTCGATTTCCCATTCTTCCGTTCTCCTAATAGATTTTTCTATGTTGCTAAACGAACTTTTGGAGATATTACACTTTAACTGTTAATGAATTACCATAGACAGCTCCGTTTCTCATGCAGATATTTTCCACACCTGCCGTGGAGAGTACTCAGCGAAAATGAAACTGGAAAATATCCGATCGTCATGTTAAGCTGCAGGATGGTTCATAAAGAAACTTTAATGCTTTGTAGGGAATTTCTAGCTATCCAAGACATTTTTTGATGCATCCGTCTTAAAGGAACGGAGCAATACCATACAGGGGATAACAAAACAGGTTGAGACTTCCCAATCCACACCATTCTCCCGTTTTCCTTGTTGGCATCTTGTATACTCAGTGCGGTTCACCACCCCTTGCAGGATGTAGGAGGCCGCCCTTGGTCCAATCTTCTGCCAATTCCATTGAAGAATTTCCTCTAGATCTAACCTTGTCTTAACCAAGCTGTTATGGCATTTCAACGACGAAATAGAACTACACAGTATACAAAGATTCTTCGCGACGTATACAAAGACTTCACAACCAGAATATCCGCACTTTACAAAGATACTAACACCCACGCCAAAAGAGGGATCACGCAGGATGACACCATCTCATCAAAATTACTTGTTGCAAACCTCCAGAACGTCATGTGAACACTGAGATGGGACAACATGGTAGTGAAAATCGATAGTCAGCAATTACACCATATTTGCTTTATTGATGAGAACGTTCTTACAACGTCAAATATTAGCCAAGTGGAACGAATTCTGTTCGACTTTGGTAACGCCTGTCCAAAGATTGGTCTTCGACTAAATCTTGCAGAAACGATGTTCATGAGGAACGGATTGGTTTCGTATACCCCATTCACGCTCAACGAAATAAATGATGAACGACTTAGCATCAGAGTTGAGGAGGTGGAAGCAGGCGGCTTAGGGAGCTTTCAGGAGCATTGGTGATGTAGTGGGCGAAACAAAGAACACCTGACTCCGTGCCCACCCCTTCGACTCTACGATCCTCCACACTATAACGTATGCTTCAGAAACCTGGTCGCCGCGTAAACAGGACGAAAAATCAGCGTTATTAAACGCGCAGATTAAAGGATAACGTTAGAACTATCTTGCATCATGCAATTGAGAAAGGAGTTCCGAAACTCCGATTTACGCCAACAAACAAACATCGAAGACGCAGCTCTGCACGCCAAACTGCCGAAGATAAAGTGGGCAGTACACGCAATGTGTATGGTCGACAACTGATGGACGAGAGTCGTTAGTGATTGGATTCTTTGGAATGTCAAACGTACTTCATGAAGATCTTCGACTCGATGGTCAGAGTTCTTCATGAAGACCCTAGAAGAAATATGTGACGCATAACGAGTCCCTAAAGCGAGCAGAACCCACTGGACCACTCCTGCGCGCGATAGGGAAAATGGATTTACTGTCACCAGCTCGATTCACTCGACGATCAACGGGACAGGGTGATGCAGGTGATAGCATTTGAAGACTGTGTAGTTGAAGCACCCCTTTAAGAGGATCATGAGCTACAGAACATCGAAGGACTTCATGAAGCACGTACTTTCACACGTATTACGAAAGCCATCCAGGAACATTTAGATGTTATCAAGATTGTTTCTATTGTGTTTCGTTTCACGGTTAAAAACGGTGCAATCCTGATTGCCCCGTCTATAGAGTTGGTGATGGGTCTTACCTTCAATAATGATGAACAGGCGGTAGACGGTTGGCACAGGATCACCAGTGATAATAACTTATGTTTTAATAGGTAGAAGACGTGAAATTTTAATAATCCATGTTTTGTTGAGGTTATGGAGTCTAAGGCTTGACCACATTGCGGCTAACTTGACCTCTCTGATGCAGAAGAAATTGGCCGAATCACCAGGTTCTGTCGGTGAAAAATAGTATAGTAACGACGTTCTGTTTACCCATCAAGAAAACAGTGAACCATTAATAAGTGCCAATGATAACTGAAAGTCGCTATTAGGAACATTCTACCCTTCACAGTATCACCTGTTCCACCTGTAGTCCCGTTGATCGCCGAGTGATTCGAGAGAGCGCCAGTGAATCTGCCATTTTTCCCCGTCGTGTGCAAGAGTGTCCCAGCGGGTTCTGCTCGCTCTAGAGAATCATCGAGCACCATATCTTTCATCAAGGCTCTTTGTGAAGAACTCTGACCATCGAGTCGGTGGTCTACGTGCAGTGCGTTTAACATCACGTGAATCCAGTCACTAACGGCTCTTGTCCATCGGTTGTCATTCATACGCATTACTTGTACGGCCCACCCTATCTCCGACTGTTTGGCGTACAGAACGGCATCTTTGACTTCTGATCGTCGACACAGATCGGAGCTTCGGATCCCATCCCTTACTTGTGTGGAACGGGATACTCTTAACATCGTCCTTTCGACTGCGCATTCGACAACTCTGAGTGACCTTTCATCCTGCTTACGCAGCGACCAGATTTCTGAGGCAAACGTTAGGGCAGGAAGTACCGTTGAGTCGAGAAGGTGGGCAAGGAATCGGGTGTTCTTTGTTCTCTTCACTACATCCTCAATGCTCTTGAAAACTCCCCAAGCAGCTCGTTTCTTTCTGCTCAGCTCTGACGTGGATGTTAATATCGTTGTAGAATGGTGATATCATGGCTATGAAATTTCTGTACAACTCACAAACAAACTTCATGTACTGAGTAAGGACTCCCTAACTATCAAGGGTTTTCATGACTGCTTCTATTTCAATTGAGTCAAAGTCTTGCACGAAGGAGAGGATGGTCTGATCCCTTGTTGAATTTTGGGACAACAGCGACATCGGTTAGGCGAAACCTTCTATTTACTATGATGTGGTCTATTTCGTTATGGTGGGGGGGAGACTCCCACGTCCAGCGCTAGGGGTGGGGCTTCTGGATTTGCGAGTTACTATGGATTGTCTTGGTCGCCATGATAAATTCAGACAGCCGCTCACCCTGTTCGTTCCATTCTAATCCGTAGGTCCCAATGTGACGTTCTTCAGACGCTCTTCTTAGTCCAATCTTAGCGTTGAAATCTCCAGTGATGACACTGAAGAATGTATGGCGTTCTTTGTAGAACTTCTCCAAGTCCATACAGAACGTTTCGACTTCTCCTTCGTCATAGTTTGATGCCGGCGCGTAAACGATGAACATTGTCAAAGCCGGAATTGATCCACGTCTTTTTAATCGTTTTAATCAGTGTCATAGACGCCGTTGAAAGGCTGGCGCCTTCTCGTCTCGGCCAGGCCGATGACATCATACTTTATCCTTCTTGCTTGCATGAGCAAGTCTTCTGTCTAGGACTGGGATGCAAGTGTACGTGCATTGTAGGTACAGATCGTCACCATAGTTCTTCGAAATTCAGGCAGCTTCCACTGGCCCTGAGATTTTAGCAGCCTCTCCGTACTCGTCCTACCCAATGCTGCGAAATTAGAGGTTCTTTCTGGGTCAGAGGAATGAGGCCCGTTTTCATTTTTAACTGTGTTTAGCATTTTTGATAGCCAGGTAAAGCTTGCTGAGCTCTAAGGGAGCAAATACAGAAAGTATGTGCCAAATCAGCGCAGCAGAAAGAGGGAGTCCAGCCCCTAGATCCACCTGCGTCTCAGGGAAGCAAAGGTCGCTTTTGGTCCGCGATTAACCTCCTATCTGCCAACTGGGGACACGCCACGTAGCCTCGCCACTACCCGGCTCGAGCTCCTTCATATGAGGGAGATCCGTGGACCCTTCACAATACACTCTGAAATACTAACACTGCTGGCTTGAAGGAATTCGACTGTCAAGACCAGATTAAGATAACATTGGATGCAAGCAAGCGGACTCATTTGTCGTCTTTTGCAGCATATCGTTCCTTCAGCAGACACCTGTGTTACAGAATTCCCCGAATCATCAGCAACTGTAACCTTTCCTCTGAAATTAATTGAACCTCAGCCATTTTTCAGTATTTATGATTAAAAAATGGAGGAAAATCAATCTTTAAATCTTTTAACCGTTTTTGAATATAAGCATAGACAAGAATGAGACCTAGGTCAACCACAACAGATGAGTTTCAGTACAAAAATTTGTCACATAGGCGTTGAATGTCATCTAATCAATTTCGATCTAAATGAATGGCAAGCAAGATTCAAATTCACGATTCAAATTTGGGAAGTAACTCCTCTGCCTCGGATGACAATCTCCTGCGTACAGCTAAGGAGAAGAACGCCATCCTCATTCCAAAGTTTTCCAGTGGTGAAAGCTCTTCCTCTACCTAAAAACAGTAATTTCTTATAAAAGGAAAAACCTTAACGTACCAATTAATCCCAATTCATTCGCATTAAGCCAGGTCGTAATTGCACTGTGAAATGATGGTAGAACAAACGAAAGCTGGTGAAGTTATGGCTCACCCGCTACTGTCGAACTATTTTCGAACAACATCCACTGATCAGCACGTATCAGATGTTGATGCATCCAAACATTATGATCCAGTGAAAATACCATACTTGGATTGAAATCATTACTAAAAGAACGAAGAAAAACCAGTAAGCAATAGAACTTTAAACCTTCAGAACAAGATAGCGAGTGTGTGACCTACATCAAATGTGGGCGGGATGCAGAACCAGCCATTGTTGCGTCGCTAATGTAAGCCACTAAGTACCTAAGTACAGAAACCAGTGTGGACCCAATAAGAATTCAGCCAGGTTTCGACATCGTAGACCCACCTGTGCAGCTTTTCACAACCGTCTAAAACACCCCATGTTTTCATCCACGAATAAAACGTCCTGCAGTTAGAAGATGGCCCACCAATTCCCATAAGCCGATCTATACTGTGGTGTCTAATCTAAAAAGCACTAAAGGTTGCAATTTTATGCAACTATCCTGAGTGCAAAAAAAACCGTAAAAGGCTCCACATGATCCTCATTTGGATTATACAAAATCAATTTAATAAGTGAGACTGCAAGTCGAGGTAATATGAACGACTTTTGAACTAAAGTTAAACTTCACTGCCATGTTGTAGCACCACATTTGTACTCCATAAACCCGCGATAAATTGAAGATACGTTGCTTCTACAAGAACTAAACCATCAAGATTTGTAGAAACGACGATACCTCGAACAAGTCCCTATTCGTCTGATTCATGCGATCTTCATAAACTCTCATATATTTTTCCGCTGATGGTTTTAGGCTGATTCTACCTGTAAGACGAAATATCAGAAAATGGAACCAAGAATTCACAACGTTCACTTTTTATTTACTGCCTTTTACAAGTTTCACGGCAGAGTATTATTAGCGAAACAACCACAATGATGCTACGATATTTGCTCCGGACCGCAGGTGTCTGCGGCAGGGAAGGAACGCGTTATTGTCCTTTCCGGGGAGTAGCAGGTTCACCACCACACCATGCGGGTCCTTTGTTTCGCCTGTCTCTCGGTTAGTCCTATCGATCACTGCCATCACCAATCACCCGTCAACGGGACTGATCTGGGTAGCTCAAATCTGCATTGAACCCAGTTAAGCCGAGGCTATAATTGAAATTCACAATGTTTACTTCTTATTTACTGTCCGTCCCATCAATCCCGTTGACGGGTGGTTGATGATGGCAGTGATCGATAGAACTAGCTGAGAGACAGGGGAAACGAAGGACTCGCATTGTGTGGTGGTGAACGCGTTACTCCCAGGAAAGCACAATAGCGCGTTCGTCCCCCACTGCAGACACCTACGGTCAGGAGTTTTGCAAATATCTCAGAATCAAGAATTGTTCGAAAAAAACTTACCTTCAGCAATCTCCGCTCTTAAGCTGGGTATAGCTTCAGCCATACTCTTCAATTCCTTCCAAGATGTGATATTTGGCATCGCATCCTGATGAATTGCTGAATCTGGTTCAACCTGAAGATCTCAAATAAGACATTGTCGGTTATCTTTGCGAAGGACCTCTTCCACAAATAAAAAGAATTAATCCACTGAAAGAACAAAAATTCATACTATGTTAAAAGAAACTTGAAGGATGAAAACGATTTTGCCTTCTTGTACTGCTTCAACAGTTCGTGTACAATACGATCGGCCATCTCGAACACGTCGAACATGATATTGAACAGGGAATGAAGTGTTCACTGCAGCAGAACAAATTCAGAAAGACTTCCACGCCCGTGCTCTAACTAGATATCCAGGACACAAATGATCACAAAGGCCTTTTCTAAGAACAACTGGACGATAAAAAGTCGTAAGACATACTATTATAGCTAAGACCTAACCGTAAATGAAAACTTGATGAACTATTAGAAGAATCAGTTGGAAACACTTATTTGGAGCTAAAACATCGAAAAGAAACTTATGCCCCCCCTCTCTCTCCAAGTGTTAAAAAACTTACCATTCAGCAGGAAAAATGAATGCATTGCATGTGGCTTGTACTTCTCCTCAACAGTATTCTCAGCGGCTGCTAAGGCCTGCGCGAATATCAAACCACCATAGGCGGCTTCTGATGATCCTTGGTGGAGCGTTGTCAAGGTTGACGTCCTGCAGAGTAGGAGACCATACTCCATTTTAACCCACAACTGACGTTCAAGTTTTAAATGGTTGTTCATATATGTCGAGTAACAAGTCAGCTAACAAATGTTGATCTTTAAAACAGACTAAGGTGATTACTGCTTTATCGCAAAGTTTTTAAGTCTTAAGCGCGAGAAAACCGACCAAAAAGTAAATACAAAGCAAATCACCGAACCTGAAGACATCGTGCTCGACCTGTTCGAAAACGAAGAATCGTTTTGCATAGTCCTCAAAGTCCAACATTAAAGCGAAGCCTCTGTGAGAGGTTCGTGTCAGGGTGTAGTGAGATGTGGTTCGAGATGAAGTCCAATGAAAGTAAGTAGCAGAACAAGATCGGACCACAATACAAAAAAAAAAACAACCGCATTTGAATGAATCAAATGGGCTGGAGTAAATCCCACTACCAACCTCAGATGTTAGATCAATGGTGTGTCAAGAAAAAAGATTATTAAACTACACATTATATCTAAAAGTTAACACATTTCACTAGACATTCTCAAAAAGGTATGGCGTAAGTGATAGACAAGCCGAACCGATATCTTATCTATTGCTCAGCAATCGATCGAAGCCATAAATATGAGTGTCTTCTTACACCTAAAGAGTAAACACAAATGACGTTAACACTCTTCGACCTGAACTCACACTGAAAGATGGGCATGTAATTTGATGTTAAAATTACCATCTTAAGGGCAAGTAATTTGATGTTAAAATTGTCATATTAGCACAGGAATCCAATTTGGCATTGCTCTTTAGGTATTTAAAAATGGGATTTTGAGCACCTGAAGATGGACAGCAGAGCTGAGTGTCTTGTAACTCATGTGGCCCACTTTTAATAGTTCAGGATAACCTTCCTGAGCTTAAAAATATGCTTTTCTCATCCTAAATGAACGCTGCGCACCAGCATTGTTGATCAGTCACTAGGAAAGTGAGCAGATAGCGATGAGTGGTTAAAAGTTGATGACCATGTGACTGAATTCGAGGTTGTGAGTTTTTCGTTAACGTTCTGGAAGTACTTAGTCGAACTATCATGTATCATCCATCACTCCAAGCTCTAATGAAGCTAAAATCTCTCAATACCAGTACCTATTGCGAAGTAAATATATTGATAATCAAATATTGATCATTATGATAATAGCATGATACTGTTTACTTGGATACTTGGGCGGCCGATCTTCACTTGTTGTGCGGGTCCTAGCACAATTTCCACTTCTTCGGAGTTTTGCTTGTTTACCCATTGTGGTTCACTAGAGTCCCGTTCCACCACAGCCAGTCGCCGACCTAGGGATCAGAAGGAGATTTGCCACCAAGCAACTATTTTAATATCAGGACCGTGGTGGATCCTCGCATTCGTTTACTGTTAGCTAGGCTTTCTGATGGAAACGCCGGAGTCCTTCTCAGCATGGGAGACACTGCTAGGGGATAAATCTCTCCGCTGTACATAGCAACCCAACACCCAGGAACACCTCCTGGACACGATGAAGCGGTAAACTTATGGGAAGAAGAGCATGATAAGAAACACATAGTGGAGCGAAAAACTTGGAGAGAGCAAATTCAACGAATAGCTCCAAAAGTGCGAAGGGGTTTAATTCTAAAAGGCGATCTAATACAAGCTGTTCAAAGTACGGAAATTTCTCTTTCAGCGAGTGCAACAGCTCACTGATAAAGCGCCCTTTTCACCAAATGAACGACTAAATCTTTTTTGAAATAAACACCCTGGTAAATGGAAACAATAAAAACAAAAGACAAAGTGTTCGGTTCCGATTATTTCGGGATATAAAAAGTAGTTTTCTACCAAAGAATGCAGCTGTCTCTCCTAACATTATAATGAGCTTAGAGCCAATCTAAAAAGATTACACATGCTGGACCAAAAAAATGGCGTTATTGAAAATGAAGTCATGAGAACTCAGTGGTGGAAAACAGTGACATTCACACCGGATGAATCAAAATCGGACAGAGATTGGAGTTGAGACCAAAACACTTTGACGCTGAAACAAGCAGACTGTTCTCAGTTGACAAACGGTGACTTAAAAAGGTCAAAATTAGCTGTAGGCTTTCACAAAAACAATTCCATTCAGTACATGCAATTTGTGGGATGCATTGGTTAAACACAATATGCAGTCGTATTACCCAATTTTTATCGAAAAATATCTCTTCTGGGAAACCAGTGCATGCACATCGAAATGGAAACCGAGAACGACCAGGATTTCACTGGAAACAGTTGACAAGTGGACGAGAAGATTAGTAGATTTGATCTCAAGAAGATCCAAAAGTCCCTTAAGGTTACTTTCTACAATGCAGTCGGACGCTCTTGTGGCTCATCTACAGCAACTCTGTACTGGGAGCCATCATGAAAATGGCCTGTAAATCAACCGCATAATTTATATACACGACAGACAATCACAATGCAAACGAATGAAAAGTGTGCCACGGTCCTTACGACTTATGAAGAAGTTCATGCGTCCATTTAAAAAAGGCGTTAATCGTTTCTGGAGGCGGATACTACAATAGCAGTGATGACCAGCACTACCACTGTGCTATCCACTTCCTGAAATAACTAAAAAACTTCCTAAACGTACAAGTGGACTTTCCCTCCCGGGTTAGAAAATTTGTACTCGACTTGTCCTGGAAAAAAACCATTCTCTGCAATCCAATTTGGAACGCTCTAACTCTGCTATCTCAGGACTGCACTGAGAATCGACTCAACCAGCATTCTACGACATCCAAGATGAAGTGAAAATCCTCAAGCAGCAGCCGAGGCCACACGTAAAAACTGGAAGAACCTAGTGGATGATGAATACGAGGAATCGAATCGAGTGTAAGAAGTGCTGGGATTCGCACATAAGATGTGAAGACGGATCGTTTAAAATCAAAAAATACAAACTAGTCCTTTCAGTGAACATATAGCAGCAAACATATATACATGAGTAGGTGACCATGAGTGTTCGTTGGCTACGTCCTAGAATGCTCTCGGTAAAAAGTGTTCTAATGAAAGAAAAGCTTAGAGAACGGAAAGATGAAACAGCGTAATAGTTTATAGTCGCTTCCGATAAGCACTACGGTTACCAAAGGTGAGGACTTTTACAGGGAAACACACTGCTCAACAACCGAACGTTAATGGTTGCATACGATCTGATAGGAAAAAAAGAGACCGATGATCGAATAACTCCATAGTCAACATTTCTCCTCAGGCTATACGTCATAAACCGCAAGCATTTTTCTCAATGCATATAATGCACCCTCAAAAGAGAAAACTACAAGACCACTGGAGCACCTCGTGCGATATCCATAAAGAATGATCTCAGAAATCTTTTCAAATGTTGTCCGATTTGAACGCACAACAGGTCCAATAAGTCGTTCAAGAACTGTTTTATTGCCCAAAGCAGTTAGCTATCGATAAGGAGTGCGGAGAATTCCGACAAAAGTTCTATTGAATGGACAGCGTTACTTTCATGAATACAGTTAAAGTGTTTAGAGCTGTACGTTCCCACAGCAATAATCTTCATCGACTACGAAAAAGCATTCCACAGTACCGAAACAGATTTCATTTCACCATCGAATGTCGACCGAGTTAAAGCACCTTAAACAAGCACTGAAGCCGACCTCAACAGTAACTATTCCACGAAGATATATCTATCTTTCCCATCAAAACTTACCACTTTAATGAGAGAAATTGCAGGGCAATTACGAATAAAAGCGCATAGAATAGCTGGACAATTCCTATCAACCCTTTGTTCCATAGGCTAAATTGTCACTTAATCAAGAAGGAAATACACCAAACATAACGCTCAAATTACTCGATGCAGGAATTGCAGAATGAGAGAATGATCGAGATTGCAGTGGAAACAGAAAGGTATGCTGAAGCTACAAACAACGAATCTAGGGTCAATAGTTTTTTGATTACAGCCTACGTATACTTAGAACATTTAAAGGAACGTGTAGTAATAACATTAACGAAGAAAGGAAAACAGGCCGAACTACATCCAGATCTCCCAGGCGCACTGGTAAATATAACAAAAGTTGCCTCCTCGTTTATTCTATTCTGCTGTTATCTAGTGATTTGTTAGCAATGGACACATTGGCTGAGGTATCCTTCATTTGAGAATTCCATGGAAAGACGATTCTTAAGTAGATTCCAATAGAGATTTCCGAAAAACATCAGACACTGCAATACTGGTTTCGAAAAATAATTTAAACACGCCCATTATTGTATCCCTCCTTTTAGAACTAGTTCGATAATAACCATTTCTCAAAATATGCAGAAACCAACAGAAATCAATACTTTTAATCGCGTTTCGGAAATTAACATGGACGGCAATACCTCACATACACGAACACAGCCAAGATTAACCAAGAGATGAGATTGAAACAGAAATTTGTCACATACTCGCCTAACATCACTCTGTCAATTTCGATCTAAATAGATAATAAACGTAGTTTAAATCTTAGAAACAACTCCTCTGCATCGGACGACGATCTCTTGCGTACAACTAAGGAGAAGAACGCCATCCTCATTCCAAAGTTTTCCTGTGGTGAAAGCTCTTCCTCTACCTAAAAACAGTAGTTTCTCATGAATATAGAACAGTTTTATAAAGCAGCAACTAATCCTAAAGATACCTCTTAAAGAAAGCGAATGTAGGAATAATTAAAGAGAACATATGATTACATGGATGGAGGCGGAGGTGCGCCACATTTTTTGTTCTCGAACACAAGACTTTGTCCGAATAGCAAATGAAAAATGCATTTGCATTACAGAAGGTCGTAATTTCTTTCAGCAGAGCAGATAACCCTTCCATTGTTTTGCCGCCTCATCGTGATTGGGTGTTCCTGGGTGTCTAGCTGCGATGTACAGCGGGGGGATTCGTCCCCAGCAGGGCCTCCTAAGCTGAGGAGGCGCTCTCATCAGGAAGCTCAGCTAAGAATAAACCAACATCATGCACTGCCGTCTTGATATCAAACTAGTCGCATGGTGGCAAATCTCCCTCCAATCCACAAGGGCTGTGACTGCCTGTGATGGTGATCGCATAACCAGTGAAGACAGGCCATTCAAACATCCAAGTAAGCAGGAACAGAGAATGGTGAAAAATTAGCAGAACAAACGAAAATAGGTAAAGTTATGGCTCACCCGCCACTGTCGAAGTGTTTTCAAATAACATCCACTGATCAGCACGCATTAGATGTTGATGCATCCAAACATTATGATCCAGTGAAAATACCATACTTGGGTGAAAATCGTTGCTAAAAACAACAAAGAAAAAAAAAGTGAAAGAAATTTGTAATCCTATGATAAAAGAACGAGTGTGTGACCTACATGATATGTGGGCGGTATGCAGAACTAGCCATTGTTGCGTCGCTATTGTATGCCACTAAGTATCTGAACACAGAAACCAACTTGGACTTCGCAGGATTAAGCAACTCATACCAACCTATGCAGCTTCTCACAATCGTCAAGAACACCCCGTGTTTTAAACCACGAATGAAACGTCCTGCAGGTGGATGACTCATCGGTCCCCACAAGATAATCCATAGTGTATGGCCTAATCTAAACAAATCCATTAGAACTAGCAACAAACTGCACCCGTACTAAGTGCAAAACAAGATCGTGAGAATGACCACATGATTAAGTAGCTGAAAGAAAGGCGAAACAAAGGACCCGCATGGTGTGGTGGTGAGCGCGTTAGACCCCAGAAAGGGTAATAGCGCTGTCGTTCCCCACAGCAGACACCTGAGGTCCACAATTTCGCAAATATCTCAGCATCGTTGTGTTGTACCAACCACATAATTCTCATATGGATCACCCAAAATCGTCATAAGTGGGACTAAAAGACATGTTATTATAGACTTTTAAACTATTTAAAGCTAAACTTTACTGTTTAAATGTAGCATTACATTTGTACTCCATGAATCTGCGATGAACAGAATATACGTTGAATTAAACCAACAAGATTTGTAGAAGCGACGACACCTCGAACAAGTCCTCGTTCGTCTCGGTCGTGCGGCTTTCGAGAAATCTCACATACCTATCCGCTGACGATTTCAGTTTAATTTTTCCTGTAATTCAAAATCTGGAAAACATAGAACCAAGAGCTGTTCGGAAAACTTACCTTCAGCAATCTCCGCCCTCAAGCTGCGTATAGCTTCAGCCACAGTCTTCAATTTCTTCCAAGATGTGATATTTGGCATCGTATCTTGATGAACTGCTGAATCTGGTTCAACCTCAAGATCTCAAATAAAACATTGACCGTTATCTTTGCGAAGGACCTCTTCCACAAATAAAAAGAATTAATCCACTGAAAGAACAAAAATTCATACTATGTTAAAAGAAACTTGAAGGATGAAAACGATTTTGCCTTCTTGTACTGCTTCAACAGTTCGTGTACAATACGATCGGCCATCTCGAACACGTCGAACATGATATTGAACAGGGAATGAAGTGTTCACTGCAGCAGAACAAATTCAGAAAGACTTCCACGCCCGTGCTCTAACTAGATATCCAGGACACAAATGATCACAAAGGCCTTTTCTAAGAACAACTGGGCGATAAAAAGTCGTAAGACATACTATTATAGCTAAGACCTAACCGTAAATGAAAACTTGATGAACTATGAGAAGAATCAGTTGGAAACACTTATTTGGAGCTAAAATATCGAAAAGAAACTCATGCCCTCTCCTCTCTCCCCAAGTGTTAAAAAACTTACCATTCAGCAGGAAAAATGAATGCATTGCATGTGGCTTGTACTTCTCCTCAACAGTATTCTCAGCGGCTGCTAATGCCTGCGCGAATATCAAACCACCATAGGCGGCTTCTGATGATCCTTGTTGGAGCGTAGTCAAGGTTGACGTCCTACAAAAAAATAGGAGGTTATACTCCATCTGCAAACATAATTTACATCCATGTTTTATAAAACGACAAAAAGATAGGGCGTTTGATGTTGACCAATCCACCAGGGATGCGTCATTCATTCGACTATATCGAGCATCATAGAGGTGATTGAATGCATATCTAGCCCGTACAATGATTCGCGGTAGCCTATTGATGTACTTAGTTGATGTCCTCATCCTTCTGTACAAGTCTGGTGCTAATCTCCTGACCTGGAAAGGAGAGGAGCCTTGCTTAACGTGAGGTGATTGAAAACTAGTGTGGGATCGAACCAGAAATCGATCCATTGTGCATTAAGAAGCACCTCTAACGACTGCCAAAACGCGTCGCTCAAGTTTTATACGAATTCTCAAGCAATTAGTGCCAGTTAATAAATGTCATTGGTTAGCAATTCTAGTATGACGATAAATAGGGTCTGATCTTTGAAATAAATTAGGGAGATTACTGTTTAATCGCAGTTTTTTAGTCTTAAGCATGAGAAAGCCCTAACCAAAAAAAAATGAATACAAAACCAATCACCGAACCTGAAGACATTCTGCTCCTGTTCGAAAACGAAGAATCGTCTTGCATACTCCTCAAAGTCCGACATTGAAGCGAAGTCTCTGCGAGAGGTTCGTGTCAGGGTGGAGTGAATTGAGGTTCGAGGTGAAGTCCAATGAAAGTAAGTAGCAGAACAAGATCGGACCACATTGCACAAAATGGACCACGACCGCATTTGCACGAGCCAAATGGAACGGAATGATGGCACCATCAACCCTCCGATATCAGATCAGCGAGTTATCATAATTACACACGAACATGGTACGTAGGAGTCCTGAGTGGAAAACCTTAATAGATCGCAAAAAAAGTCCCAGTGCATAGAAGAAGCATGAAAAAAAGGGCTTATTAGACCATAGAATATGTTTAAAAACTACCAGATATTACTAGAAATTCTTAAAAATATATGGCGAAGAATCACGGTTTGTCTGTAAATTCACTGGCACAATTGTTGTATTTCCTCCCAACGGTTTACCACCTCATCGTAGCTGGAAGGTGTTCCTGGGTGTCGGGTTACGATGTACATCGGGGTGATTGATCACCTTGGCAGGACCTTCCAAACTGAGAAGGAGTGCGGCGCCTCCATCAGGAAGCCTAGCTAAGAGTAAACCATACCAGGATCCACCACCATTTTGGTATCAAATTAGTCCTATGGTGACAAATCTCGCTCTGATCCACAATGGCTGCGACCGTATGTGATAGTGAAGACCTGGGGCAGACTTTGGCTAGGCTGACCTAGGGATTTCTGGGAACCACAGTAACTTAAACAGCAAATCTCCGAAAAAGTGGAGATTATGCTGAGGCCCGCACAACCGGTGAGAACGGACCATTCAAGTACCAAGTATCAAGTTGTTGTATCTAAAAGTTCTATACCAATATTTTCCTCTCCACGATAACCGTCGAGAACCCTAAAAGAGCAGTGGAGAACATCGAGCACGGTCATCCTACTCAAGACGCACGACCGAAGCAATCTTTGTAACTGTTGTCCAATATACTTGCTAAGTGTATTCTACAAGCTCTTTCTGATTATCCTATCGCACATTTAAAGGAAATTGGACGAGGCGCAACTAGCTGAGTAAGCAGGATTCCGACAAGGATTTTGCTGCATAGATCACATCCGAACAGAATGACGGGTCATAGATGTCTGCCGAGAGTACTGCCTGCTACTTGTCCTAAGCTTTGTGCGTTACGAGAAAGCGTTTGACAGCGTCGAAACGAATGCAACGAAATATTAGCAATCGTGGACGACGAAGTGCACCTGTTCTATGCCCTAACACTATCTAACTGTTATCTCATCTGCAGCACAAATATACAGCTTTCCCAACGACCCCTCACCAATGACGTCACTCGATTGGGACGAGATGGGAATATGTGTTGATGGAAAATCCCTATCAGATCATTGTTTCGCGGATGACATAGAGTCCACTCTTTGAGGTGTACCAGAAAAGCATAGTCGATGCTCAATGAACTTAACGAAGTGGAAAAAGAATGGAGCGCGCACGCAAGAATACGACGAAGATTCAGTTCATGAGAAAACCACAGTGCGAAGGTAAACATATGGAACGAACATGGAGAATAACGTGAAAGAGGTATTAGACAGAAGAAGAGCAGCTTCGGTCGCACTAGGACCAACTTTTAGGTCCGCCGACCAACTAACGGACACAAAACTCTGCGCCACGTCTTCGCTTGAACAATTCTCCCAGTGCTCTGTGATGCAGCAAAGACGTGAGCTGACTCCTCGGCCGCGTGAAGAATACTGCACACCATTTACAGAGCGCTTGAGCGAAATGTCTCCTGAAATTTAACCGGTACTCACAACGTCTAGCGGGAATCTGCAGCTCAGGTATTCGAAGCCTATCCCATCATCGATACGCAGAAGAACATACATCAATAGCTAAATGCAGTTGGACCAGCTGCATAATAAGAAGAAACGGTGACAGGTGGACGAAAAGGACAACGGAGCGGACTCTAAAAGAATTCAGGCGTTCCCTTGGAAGACCACCTAAACGATAGACGCGGACGTGTCCGTGACTAACGTCAACCATCTTTATTCGCTGATAGAACCGGTTTCAGAAATTCGGAATAGGTCTTGCGGACATTACCATGTTCGAAGCAGACCACCACCATGGACGACAACTGCGCGAGAAAAACGAATGGAAATTTTCCCGGCAGCCATATAAGCAGTGAAGACAGGGCATCCAGGTATCCCAGTATTCAAGTAAGTTGTTGTATCAATTTCTTCTGTAGAATGCTGGAACTCGTTGCGCGTCCAGGACTATCGACTAGCCGAATTCATATTTTATATTTTGCCTATCATCGACACAATAGATCTGGGTATCTTCATGCATCCAAAGAGTAGGTGCAAACACTTGCTTAAACAGTAGTTCATTGCTGTAAACGTTAATATACTATTTCATTAAAATGTTTACTATTTAAATAAATAACGAAAGCCGTTTTGAACTCGTGCTGATGGATGGAGAGTGATTTAGAGTTAAACTTACGATACCAGTGCAGAAATCCAATTTCACAGGACTCTTTAGGTATTTCAGATAGGGGCTTTTAAAACCTAATGGAGAGCAGAATTTAGTACCTTATGAGTACATGTGTCTTCCATTCGGCTAACGTTCGGGTGTTTTTTCTTCTTCAGAGCCGATGATCCGAGTCGAAGATCCTTAGCCATCCATCGTCGTCTTGTCGGTCTTCGTAGTCGTACTGAGTGGAATCTTTTTGAGTGGAACATAGCTTGAATGAGGTAATCTCATTCGGTGGTCTCCTCACTAGTATCCAAACAGATATACTGGCGGAGGTTAAGTGAAATTCGGTTTGGCAAAGTATTATTTTGCTATACGCAAGATATTTTAATACTGACTGCGATAGGACGGATTGTGCACATTAAAAGAAAACACTGTCTGAGGATAAAGAACCAAGAACACTCCTACGTAAAAGGACAGTGAGCTTGCTTCATTCGAGCTGTGCCTCAATCAGGAGGATTGGGTTCAATACGACTACTGAGGCTCACAAAACGGGAACGAACGACTGTAGACTATTGACTTGGATCATCGGCTCTAAAGTAGGTAAGGATGTCGTAATGGTAGTCGAATAAAGGTTTTATAACTATCTGGTTTAGGCTGAACAATTTAAACAAATACATAGCATGGAAAAGGTTGTATGATCCTTCTTCTTCCAGAAGAAATCTGTCACAAACATCAATGAGGTAGTAAACTGGTAAGTTGTATTCGTCATCGATTATGAGAAATGGACAAATGAGAACGGGTTTGTAGCGTGCTCCATTTTCTTTTTCTCCAAACGGCGATCCTCATCACCCGAAGAATTTAGTCGACATCTATCGAACCACTATCAATTTTTATTTATCGATTTTTGCCTTCTAGTTTGTTATTCGACGTTCCAGGAATCCATTCGCTGTGGAATTTCGACTATTTATAAGATGTGGGCGGGAAATACCAAATAGTAGATGATATATTTATTTATGTGATCTTATAAACTGATCTTCTTAAGCTGACGTGAGATTGGTACAGATCTTCGTTGTCGTTGTCGTTGTTTTTAATGTTATTGAACGATGGCTGACGTTTCGGCGACTTCGCCTTCCTCAGAGCCTGGACGTACTTTATGTTAGAATACTTTTTATTATTCGGTGGAAAAGAAGGTTAAAGTATTAATGAAGATCAAACTTTCAAAGCGGGATTGGCCCACACGTAGTTCACGCGAGCAAGACACGCCCCGAGGTCAAAATATCATTTTGAAATAGGGCGCCAGGTCACGCGTGATAGT